GCGGGGAGGAGCGAGGGCGAGCGGTGCTCGGCCCCCGCCGCGGGCGGGCTCCCTCGGCTCCCGCGGTGTGTTCCGGTCTTGCGTGAGAAACGAGAAACAGCCCGACGGGGTCTAGTACGGTCAGGTCCTGGCGTGTACAGAAAGTGCAGAGTAACGCGCACCCGGAGAGCGTGAGGGGCACGTATCTCATCAACTTACATAAACAGGCCCACGGATTCTTTGCCGGAGTTGGTTAGGCTGGCTAATACAAAAATTCTTGAGAGTGGCATGTATTACAGACCCAGGTCGGTACGAGGTAAATAGCAGCAATCCTGGATGTATTTCTGCAGGCTTCAGTTTCTCCAGCGCAACTCGCTTAAAAATGAATTAAATTCCTCCCCCCATGCGAAATACGAAACAATTGTAGTTATAACATTAACAGAATCCAAAAGCAGCAGTCTGAAAAGCAGCTGCTCCTCTAGTTACTTACCATGACCTAAAAGTTCAGATTTTGCTTTTCAAAGCTATAAAAGTGTTCTGGCTGTCACGAACAATTCAGCAAAAAAAAGCTGTGTCTAGCTCTTGTGGGCACAGGGTAGGCACCTGCACCGTACCTTTAACCTCTGCAGTGTTGACTTCCCTGTTTTTTTTGAAAAACAACCAAGCTTTTCCCACATTTCTATCAGTGTCCTAAACTCTGGTGAGATCCAAATGCAGGAGCAGGTACATGTGTATTACTCTCCTGAATGTCCTTGGTCAGTAGGCTTGCTCTTCTGCCTTAGCTGCACTGAACTTCCAAATAGCACTTACTACTAGAAGACCTCAAAAGCATGGACATTATTACTGTTAGCACGATTTTGCAGATGGGGATTCACACAGAAGTGGAATGACCTGCTCCATCTTGCTAGGAAGAACAATAGCAGCAGATACAGGTCTTTTGAGTCCTAAATCAAGATCCTGTGTCTAAGCAACACTAATCCAAACTCAGAACGCCTCATGAATTTACATGTCAGCCTTGTATGTCTTAGTCCTTTTCTCTGTACAGCAGATAATGGGTGGAAACAGATTTGCCTAGCTCATCCAGTGTGTGTCTGAGCTGACTCAGGGTGTAGGATGTGGACAAAGACAGCCTGGGTAGCACTGAGCAGTGTTGTTGCATATTACTTTTTACGTTGTTCTCCACACAGATTTGCTTTCTTTTATAAATTCATTGAATTTGAATTCTGAATTGCGTTTCCCCACCATACATTCACAACTGAGCTATCTGAAGAGAAGGTGAGTGTCCCACCTGTCCCAATGCTTCCTGGGGCAGGAGGGAGTGGAAATCTTTGTTGGTGTTACAAATGTCAACATTCTCTGTTGGAGGTACTATATAGTTCTGTACTTTTCCCTGTATATCTTTAAACCATTTACTCTTTATTGCTCTTCTTACAAGAATCACGAAGCACTTTACAATCACCAAACTGTCACTGTCTGAATTTTTTAGAATATGACTGTTACAAGTTTAGCAGAGGTCTGTTGGTCGAATATTTCTTCCTTTTTTCTTGAGTTTGTGTGTTTGATTATGCTTAGTATGCAATCAGTTTCATAGGTTCTTGAGTATGTAGGAAGGTCCTCTTCCTTATGCGTGAATATAATTACTCTTTGGTGAACTGACCTACCAAAAGATGGGCAAGAACATGAGACTGACTGTGATTTCTGAGACACTGGCTGTTAATTCCTATCCTTTTTTTTTTTTTTTTTTTATGAGAGTCTTTCATAGCGCAGCTGAAGACAGAAACACTTTTAAAAAGGGCAACATTGTATTAAAGTGACTAGTAAAAACCAGTGAGAAGCAGATTCTGCTTTGGAAGTACCTTTAACTCCTTATTTTGAATTGGCTGTGTTCAAACTTAGTACCAAGAATTATGAGCAACCACCTAATTAAGCCAAAGTGATTTCCCTCTACTTAAGAGATGTCTGTGTTAGAACTGTCATGCAACATCAGGTCCTGGTACTCCTAGACCTATGTCTTGATGGCCGCCTCTACCTTTCCTATTGTGTAATAATGCCAGAATAGGTCTTGGTTAGTTCAGGTATTTGTATGTTTCTAATTTTGCCTCAGCTTTTTTATCACTAATAGCTCAGGAAAAGCTTAGCAAGAACAACTACAGTTTAAAGAAATATGTGCATACCTGAAAGTGCTCCACCTGATAATTTGAGGAGATTCACCTCTGAAAATATAGAGATTTGTGATAGAGACTTGTATCTAGATAATTAATATCCTCTAGGAGTGCTCATTTCTCCAAATTGATTAGAGAACAACTCTCCCGACCTATTTTAGATATGTTTCAGAACTTATGATACGGTTTGTCCTAAAAGTGCCTGCTTTTCTCCTTTCCATACAAAGGACGCTTATGTGACATGCTCAGATATAAAAGTCTGTAGTAGAGAGCACTGAAGTTAGGCTAATGAATGTCTGTCTTTCTACTTGACAGGTTTAGTTCTTCAAAAGCTTTTGATGTAAAGAAAATAGTATGGCACTCTGGCTTCCTAGAGGAAAGACACTTGAACAAATACACTCATACTGTAGAAAATTAGTGTCATAAGAGCCACAGTTGTACTTTTGCTTCTTTAAGTGGTTTGGATGAGAAGTGCCTTTTGTGAGCAGTGATAACAGAAAATGTTTTAGAGTCTTCACTCCCTGAGGATAGATAGAACTGACATATGCAGTACAGTCTAAAAGCAATAATGTACTGGCCCCCCTTGCTGGCATTTAAAGCTTCTCCCCCTTCTGACTGTGATGAAAACCCTCTGAATGCAAGGGGGGGAAGGCTGCTGCCTAGCCAGCATTGCTGGGATGTCACAGCTCCTGTTACAAAGGTTTCTCCCACTCAGAGCTATGCTGTCTAAAGCCTCATCAAGTAAGAGCACTGAGAGAGAGCAAGTGCCAAAAGCAGGACTGCAGAGGATTTTAAAATTCTGCATTCTGAGCAAGACAAGGCCACATAGGAGATATTTGAATGGTCATTTAAGGGGGCACTGTGGAAAACTGTCCTGTTATTTGAAGACAGCTGCTCTGTTTTCACAAGTAACACATAAGATTATTATCACAGAAAGAGATGAGAAGATAGGGAAAAACATTCTCCCTTTCTCTTCCCTCACTACTTCTCCACACACTTTCTACAGTCAGTTGTGCTGCTTCATTTTAAAGACAGCAATTTGTCCTTTCTCTCTGCAGAGCCTGAGAGAGAAACTTATAATTTTGTACAGGAAAATGTGATAGTAAAACATTACTTAGAAGAAAATACTTGGAGCTACTCAGAACTTGAAGGCTACATTTGAAATCAGAAGTCTTATTTGAGAAAAAAATAATAGACTTCTTTGAAGTAATTTTTTTAAAATTAATACAAACCTTGTGAGTTCACCCATCAGTATAAGGGCTCCAAACCTCCCAGGGCTTTTTGCTCTGTCAAAAGACAGCAGACCCATCCTTGATACCTCTAGGTAAAATAAAGGAAAAAAAATATCTCTCTTTTCAGTCTCTTCAATTCCATATCAAAAGCATATGTTGGATGTACATTCTGACATCCACACACCAAATGATCCATGGAGTAATGGAACTATAGATACTGAAATTTAACACTGCAAATCACAGTGCTGATGCAAAGAAATGGTGGTGATTTCCCAAAGATTTTATAAAGCTCTTCTACCTGAATATTGTCATTGTAGAAAATGAGTTTTTCTACATATGAATGTAGAATGTAGAAGAGTTGTAGAAAAATGAATTTTTCCACCATAAACTAAAGCTCTGAGGCAATGAATATTCTTTGTTGCGCACAGAAAAGGCTACACAGTGGTGTTGGAAACCTGGATGTCTACTTAGTGTTGAGTCAAAGCTGGCTTAGCTTCTCAGATGGAGGCACTCCAGTCTGCTTCACAGTGACAGTGATACTTGGTGAGTGATGAGACTCTTCAGTACGCCTGGTAAATTGGCAATGCACACCTCTGCGTTAGCCAGTGTAAGTAAATACCCACTGAGTCAGTATTAACTGGTGCAGGTTCCTTTCCCATCTTGTGTATCCTCCTGGAAGATGTCATGCTAGTAAAAGCTGGAAAGCTTTCATAGGCTTTCAAGAGCCAGAATTCACTGTGAAAGAACAAACCTTTAACAGCTCTTCCATTTTGTGAAAAATAAGCCAGTCTCCCACTCCAAGGGAATGCACCTTCCTTTTCCTTCCTGACTGTTCTTACACCAACTCTTTTTATCCCCCATCAATTATATAAATGGATTTGTCTTTCTGAAGGATAACCATTTGTAGCTCTACACCTGTTACCAGCCTCAGGTCAAGGTTCACAAAGCGACTTGGGGTTTGCCATGCCTTGAGGTCAGGCACCCAGCTCCAAGAGTGGATACGACAATTTGGTTAAGGTATCCAAGTTTACTTCAACTCTACCCCTTCACTGTGTGGTATCCTAAAAGGCATCCACTGGAGGGAAATGCTGAACAGAATGACAATGGAAGGGAGCAGTGCCTGAAGCAGCCCAGAGACACAGGAATTCACGATTCCTCTTTGGCAGGAGATGGCCCTTTTCACTAGAAGGCACTCCTGTCCTCTCCTGCCTGTACTTTTTGGTCTCTCTTGAATCCTTTATTCCTTGCTTGGTGGCTCAAGCCACCCAAGCCTTCTGTGGGAGGAGTGGGGAATGGCAGAATGCAGTCTAAAGTAATTTTCCCACTTCCTGGCAATGTATATAACCATTGCATATAGAGCATGAAGAACTAGGTCATCTTTGCTGAAAGTTTAGTTTCATTCAGAAATAATCTAAATGCTGTGCATTGTGCTGACCTTGGGATAATGATGCTTAGTGGATCAAAGTCATTGAGAATTTAAATGCAAACATGCCTAAATAACAAACCTGAAACAGATGGAAGGAGTAGAAATGTACTATGAGTTTCAGCACAGTTCAGACAGCAGTTCTCATTCGAGTGTGTAGGAGCAGAACTTAGGAAGCTGAGAAGTACCTAGTGTATATCTTGTGAACCTGTAAATGTTAGACATCCAAATTCTACAAAAGTTAAATTTAATTGTATAAAATCTTTTGTGTATGGGTGTCCCTGTTTTCTCTCTATACACAGTGAAATAACGTAATAAGATTCTAGTCTCATGAAATATCAGCCAATTACTTCAGAGAGGTAAAGCTTTACTTAGTTGGACTAGTTACAGAATAAGGTACAGCACTTTGCAGGTAAGATGATGACATTTCGCTTGGTTAAACATTTACCTTGGTTCTGCTTTGGGAATTCCTCACGCAGCATGTGGCTAAGCCATGGAACTCCCTGCCTCAGGACACTGTTTATACAGGTTTAAAAGGCAAGTGGATAAACTAATTGAGGAAAAATCAATGAAAAGCTATTAAATACAAAGGCAGCACTTCTGGTGCAGGAAAATCACAATTTCTCTATCTACTCCCCTCTCCCCAGTCGCTACATTCTTGCCCTGTTTTATTTCTGAGTCACCTGCTGCTGGCTGTATCAGAAAGACACCATTCTAGATGGATCCTTAGACTCATCCTCTGCAACAGTTTGTACAGTCCTGCACAAAGGAAGTTTCAGACTGCAAGTCAGTTGTAGCAGCAGCAGCAGCAACATAGTTTTCAGTGTAAGTACACTTAGAGTTTTTTTCATTTGGCTTAACTATTGACTTCAAGAAAGTTATTCTTGATATGCTCTAGTGTGTGATCACACTAAGGCATGCTTACTTTCCTTCAGGAACAACACAGTCTATCAGAAAAGTCTAAGGAGATAGAGAAAATTACTAATTCCATAGGAAAAAGAAAATGTTTAGAAAGGTTTAATTAGGACTGTTGCAACCATGGATTTTTTTTAGTATTAAATTCAAGGAACCTGACTTATGTAAGCACTCTAATAGTTCAGAGAGAATTCATTCTGCATTAATCTTTCTCAGGCTGGTTTGTTCCTAGACTGTAAAATAATCAGGGTTTTTTGCCGACTAATTTAAAAAGAAATCAATACAATATATGCTTATGCCAGTGCTCACAAAATCTCACTCAGAGTTTACTGAATCTGCTGGATACAAATGGCTGCAAATAAAACTTCCAAAATTATTCCATAATTTTTGAAGATCTGTTGATCCTTAAGCATTTGATATGGCTTTAAACTGAGGAAATTTGATTGACTATATTTTTGTAATCCTATTGCAGGGATGCTGCACCTTAAAAATTCTTTTTTAAACACTGTTCAACTGTTCTTCCCCTATTAATAAACTTTTCTCCCTTTTATTTTCCCCTTTAATTTTCTGAATAAAAGTTTAAAGTTGAATGTACTTTTCTCTGCTTATATCATATATTGATTATTCTTTGCCCTCGACCTATTCTAAACAATAATAATCAAGAGTTTTTCTTTTTTAAAGACACTATCAATCTTTAATCCTTATGCATTAGATCAATTTGTCTTCTAAACACTGAAGGTACACATTTATAGTCCCTTGTAGAAGAGTTTTAACATAGCTATCTTGCATAAATCTGCCTATTGATTCAACTGCTTGAAAAGTTGAAGCAGTTTTAGATTGTCTTTAAAAATTCACAAAGTAAGTGGACTGTAAGTCATACTACACTAGCACAGGCCAACAGTCAGTGTCCTATTGTGCTAAATGCTTTGAAAACACATAGAAATTAAAGTTCTCTGAGCCAAACAATTTATGTTTGAAAGGGATGATACCCATCAGTAAGTGTTCCAAGAACAGATTGCTGGGTATCTAAAAACTGTTGCCAACCAATACATTAACTGACTTGGTACTGCGCCTGAAGACTGGAAACACTGTGTTCAGTGCTACGTGGGTTCATGTGACTGGCCATTATGTTTAGAAAAGATAATATTTCTCGCCTTGGATTGGGCTTTTCTGTCCCTTATGCAGGGAACATCTAAACACTGGGGGATATTCGGATACAGGGAAGAGGCGTGATAATTAGAGGAAACGTCACCTTGTTTTCATTCTGTTGTTGCACAACTTTCTATGGGGTGGAGTGGAATCTAGAGCTGTGTTCCTGTATCTGTCTTTCTGAAAAGGGAAAGAATGTTTGACATTTGCTTAGATCTTGAAGGTAACTGAAATATTTGAAGATCATGAATGTGTGTCAAAAAAAAAAAAAAAAAAGAAACGAAACATTGAATAATTTAGGTTGCAAGGGACTTCTGGAAGTCATGTAGTATAACTCCTGCTCAAAGCAGACAGAACTAGATCAAATGGCATTGGGTCTTGTCCAGTCCAATTTTAAATGCCTCCAGGGATGGAGATTCCACATCCTCTCTATCCAACTTGTTCCAAGGTTTAGCTAAGCTCATGGCAAAAAAATTTCCTTTTATCTGATTGGATTTTCCCATATTGCACCCAGTGTCCATTGCTCTTACCATTATCACTGTGCACCTTCAAGAAGAGTCTGGATTCATCATCTCTATAGGATCCCATTAGTTATTTGAAGAAATGGGCCAGTACAGGCAGGTATGTCAGTTTGGCACTTCAAAGAGACATGCTGAAATGGAACCAAAGGACAGTATAGGTCTTAGATGATTTCTTTGTTTGTTTTCCACACCAATTCCAAAGGTTCACAGAAGTACCAAAATTTCTGTACAGCCAATCCCATGAAAACCACAGAGCAAAAGAAAATGCTCTAATTTTCAGTCTGGCCTTGTGCATAATGAGAATAACCCAATTAAAAGACTGTAAGTGGCAGAAAGATATCCAAACCACTCTGTAATTGAACTGGAGAAGATTTCTGTAGTACAGCCACTGAAGGCCATAGACTAAAACTGCCACAGGGGGATTCTGATCCAATGTGTATATGCTGTGAGCTGGTATGGAATGGGAAGGAGAATGCTAAAACTGTGGGTCCTGCTGCTGTCTGTAGGGCAGCCCAATGGTATTCATTGACATAAGAGCTTTGAGATACACCAAAGGTTTCAATAACACTTGTAGCAATTCGGCATCAGACAATCAGACAAAAAACAGTCTACACCCCCCACAGTACTTGTTCTGAGGACTGCAAGAGTCAGAATGTTGTATTTCAAGAATAATCCTCTGGGAAGGGAATCCACTTCATTTCCTTTCTGATGGACATGTCCCACAAACAGAGACAGTAAAACTTGATTTTTGTGTTATTTCAAATATAAAAAAATGAAGGGGAACCATACAATATCCCAAGAATGTGTCACACATTCGTTACGTATCACAAAGGAAGAAAAGTGCTTACCTCCCTTGATGTCCCACTTAGATCTTACAGTGCACAAGCAGAAAATATCACTGCATTAGTATTCCTTGTGGAGATCAGATTTGATACTTCTGACGGGAGCTGAAGGGCTCCATTGCTGTACCAATAGAGAAAGAACAATCTGGGACAAGTAAAAGAAGGAAATAAGATACTTTAACCAAATGATCTCTTCAAAGCAACCCTATTAGAAAGATATGGGACTGTGACTTCTATTTTTAGTAAGGAATCATATTTAAAGTCTAATGTTAATCTGTCCTCTTGGCCAGTTAATACCAAACATAATTAATGCTAGATGTTTATTTAAAAACATCAACAACAAACTCTTCTGGTACTAAGTAATGATAGTCCCAGTCATTTAGTGTGACAGATAAGCTTTGAGCTTTTACTCTTAGCTATACCACAAAGTTCCATTACAAAGTGTTTGAAGAGAACAAGTGAAATTAAACACCATCACTATATTTTAGGTTTTGCTAGCCTGCTGCAACTGGGCTTTGAAATGTCTGAGGACTTTTCTGATTGGCTGTTGATTAAAATCATAACCTTTTGCCAAAGTGCCATTTGATCACAAAAATAAACTGCTCTTTCCTTTTCAGAGCTAAACCACTGCTTGAAATATAAAATCCTAATATGTAGTTACTAACACAGGTGATCTGAGAGGCAAGAGTAATACAGTGAGTATTCCTACAGCAATCTTTTTAGGATTTATGAAGTCTAGATTTTTAGCTGCAGCTGTTCATTATGTCTGCCAATGTTTTCCACTCTCTTTACGATTCAGTTATTCTGGGAACAATGCACATTAGTCTTTAAACTTGGAATATTTGCGGACATGCATATATATGCACTTTTTCTGAAACTGTCTTTCTAGTTTTACAAATCATAAAAATTCTGTTCCTTAGTGATTCCTGTGAAACTTCTCTATCGCTTATTTGTTCCTTCTGCTCTAGCATAAGAAAATACTGCAGATCAGTGTGTTTTGATCAATGAGTTAGTTACTTCTGCTTCTTAATATATCCAGGAGGACAATTTATTTGGCAAGAAAATTATCTTTTTGCATGTTGAGTGCTTTGAGAACCTGGCCATGATTAAAGTTGTCTCTTGAGCACATTAGAAGTGGTTTTAACACATTCCACAGATCAGAGAAAAATGGTGTCTCATTCTGAACGATGATTTTGAATTTGTGAATCAACTAATAGTTTAGAGGTTATTTAGCCAATAATTAGTAATTATCATTTTGTGTCCTATCAGGTGGAAATCCTTGATTGGAAGACAAAGAAACAGCTATGCTTCCTAGATAAGGTAAAATAAAATTATGTTTAAAATGCTAGGTGACTATTTAAAAATTACTAACTTTTCTAAGTAAACATAGTATTTATGAAGTGTTTCATCTCCTGATAGCCTTTCTTTGGCCACTGAAGAGGCAACGATTATACACACTTCATACTGACTACAGAGTACTTCAACCCTTTCCCAGAAGGAACTTTTGGGCAAGGAGCACAACTTCAGCTGCTTCACTAAGATGGTTCCAGTTGTGCCTTACTCATTCATAAGCCATCAAACTGTCACTGCTGTTGTAGTAACTCTGGATCACTGCTAGAGAAGCTGCCTCTGAAACAGATGCCACAAATTGTCCTCCCTTTTTCCTGTAAGAAGTACCTTGAATCATCCATACCAATCCTAGCCATCTGTAAGAAAGTTATACTCTTACATTGTTTAAGTCACATTTCTACTTGTATAGTCTTACACCTAGTAGTTGTCTTTCAAAATATGCATCTTACATATATAATATTTTTTGTTGCCTAGGTCGAACCAAATGCCACCGTTAGGGAGATCAGATCGATGTTCCATAAATTATGTGAGTATAACTTTCACAGCAATTCACATCACATCAGAATATCCATTATATAAATGGGAGAAAATTACATAATTGGAAACATGTGATGTACACACACGTAATGCTAAGTAACGTGCACATGAATGTGAGCACAGTAAGACTTCAGCATAATTTTTTTATACTACCCTTATACACCTTTTTATTTTTTCTGCTGCATAATTTCTCACAGATATTCATGTTGAATAAATATTCCTAAAAATCTTTAGCTAAACTTACCTTGTTGTGTTGCATCCATTATAATAGTGGATGACCTAAATGAAACGTTGTGTATCACACAATTCTGTATGGTCTTACAGATCCTCGGTGGTATCCAGCAAGACAGTCAATAAAACTTGATCCAAGTAAGTACTTGTGAGAACTAGACTAACAAAGCTCTGAGCAATGGCCTGGCATAAAGGCTAATACTTTGCATGGGTATTAGCTCTTAAGAGTGAGTTTCCAGCTATGTTAATTAGCACTATGAAGGCTGAAGAGAATCTAGAAGAAATTTAATTCTTTGAAAATACCAAACGGAGTTCCACCCATGTGCCTAGTGCTTGGTAATTTACTCAGGAGTCTGCACATTGTTCCAATACACATTCTAACTACTGAGCACTTCTACTTTCAGTCAGGCAGCACAGAATCTAGATAGTAATTTCCTGTAACTGCAGTGAAATGGTCTCCACAGTGATGCTTAGCTGGGTGTACTAAAAAGGGCTATGAGTTAGAGCTATCAATTCACATAATCCTCTGCTCTCAGGTAGGAATTACAGTTCTTTTGAGGTAAGCTAATGCAAAACACATTGCCATGGATGTAGGATTTGCTCACAAAGCTGACGCGAGCTAGCTGACTTCATTAATAGAATTGTAGGTATTGCTACTAGAAGCCTCTTAGCACATGGCCTGGGTGCAGAAAAGAAATTCTAATTGCCAAACTGTGTTAATTAATGTTAGCAGTCAGTATAAAATGTAGCACTTTCTTCTTTTGCTTCCTTTAAGCATAATTTTATTTAAACAGTCCCTTAAAAGTATGCTGGTGAAGATCAGTTCATTGTGTAGGATCCATCTATGGAAAACAGGCATAACTTACTTCCTTCTTCAAAGATCTACCTTGTTAGATTCCCTACCTTGTGACACTTACCATGAGAAAATGCTGGCCTTCTGGATATTTCCCCAAATCTACGCATTTTTAAAAGCTTGAGTACTAGCTCATGTCCTGTGGAATCACCTCCTAGCTGGTTGGTTGGGAAAAAAGGAGGCAATTAAAACCTCTGTAGGAGAGCCTTCCAATCTCAGCTTATTCTAGCTTCTGTTTGTCTGACAATGAGCAATGAGAACAGAGGAAAAGAGAGGAGAGAGATCGAGGTGAAGCTGACTAGGATGTCAGTGAACTATGTTAAAGGGCAGTGACCAATCAGCAAATTCTGCTGTAGCAGTGATGGAGCAAGACTAGGCAGGCACATAGGATTGAGAATTCTCTTAACTGAATTGGTGTGGATAGAGGATCCAGGGTTATATGTGATTACAGGGATAAACTAAAATTAAGTATAAATATTCTTAGTTTGTTTACTGTGATTCCAATAAACACATCACATCAAAGAATCTCACAGATTGGTTAAAGCACAATATAAAGCTAATATTCTCTCAAAGCTGACTTGAATTTCACTGAAATGTAATTCCTTCTTTCCTTCTCAGAAGGAAAGTCCCTGAGGGATGAGGAAATCCTGCAGCACCTCCCTGTTGGCACAACTGCTACCTTATACTTTAAAGATTTAGGGCCACAGATAGGATGGACTACGGTGAGCTATGCTTCAAGTCTGAGCCGTTTTAATGGCTATTTTTCCATAATTAATCCTTACATCACTTTTTGTCTCTCTCCAATATTTTTGCATGATGCCTGCTCTGACAGTGGATGCAGGTGATGAATCCTCATTGCTTCAGTTCATTTATTCAGGGAAAGCAGTAACAGGATATTCTGAATGCCTGATTCCCTGGGAGAGCAGCAGCAGAAAACTTGCTGCAGGGTAGGTTGGCTCTACTGAACTAAGGTGCAGGTTCTCAAATGAATTTAGATATCTACTGTAAAATCAGTAGGAACTAGGTGTCTAAATGCCTTTGGGGATCTGCTTCACAGCGCCTGCGTAACTCTCCTAACAAAGATCAGGATTATACTCCTATGAGTTTGTCTTGCAAAAAGGCATGTGAGCAACTTCACGTGTCAGAAATTGAAGTGACTTCAGCAAGAAAATGTGTGAATGTAAGATCAGTTAGCTGTCTGCATGTGGCTGCGCCCCAGGATGCTAGTGGCCTCCTAATGACAGCTGATTATTTTCTGCAATATTAATAGCCATCTGCGAAGACCTTGTATATTTACTGTCTTAGCTCAAATGCAAATTCTATCACAACTCACTTGGCATGCAACACAGCAATGCTGTTTATGCAGTGAGGTGACCAATAATCTCCAGTTGTTCAGAAGGTCCACGATGCACATATTATGCTAGCTCTAATGAAACAGCACAGTACGAAGGGAAAATTATCCAGTAATTTAAAGGCATATTTCCTATTTCTTAGCTATGAGACATTAATAAAATATTGTATTAATGATAAATAGCAAAGACAACATTCATAGGAAGTAAAATTAAAAAAAGTAAAATGTTCTGCAAGACTGACTCCTCATACCATTACTTTGGATGCAAAGCTGATAAATCAGGCAGCTATTACACAAGTTAAAACCCAGTAAGACCAGCAAAACTTCTAATGGCAATGTAGACTCCAAGATACACATACATTAATATATACCAAAATGTCACAGTGCAGAGTAACACCAGACTTCTGCCATTCCATAATCTTTCATTTACATTCTTCTCTCCCTGCCCTTCAAGCTACTTCATTCAAATGTAAGCCAAGAAATACTTCAGTCTTATCAAATAAAACAACCAAACTTCTCATGTACAATCAAATTCAATCTTCACCAGATAAAATGCCGATTGCTACAGAAGTCTATAACATCTTTCTGAGTGTCAAAATAACTCTAAATATATTAGAAAAGTGTTGGAATTTGGTTTTGGTTTGGTTTTGTTATATTTCCTTTCTTTCTCCATAAATGAGATATGGGCCTATCTTCCTCACTTATAGAAGTGTGGAAAATTCAACTATTAATGTTTGGTCCAAAGTTAAATTAAATTTACTGTGATGTTCCTAAGAAATACACACCTATCTGAAATGAAATCCAGTTAGATTACTTCTCTGTTTTCCTCTATATTTTTTTCTTTGCATTCAAGTTAAAGATTGTTTGAACATAGAATGAATTGGCTGTTTCCCAAGACATCTGCTGTGCTAATACAGATGGGGTCTCCTGTGACCACTTACAAGCTGTGTTTCCAGTTTAAACAAAATTTATTAATTAGAAACAAAGCTCCTCTTTTTCAAGATAAATTCTTCACCAAATTTCGTTTTAACCCAAAATAAACCAACAGTTTTTGAGGGCAAGAGGAGGGTGAGAGCTGCATAAATGTAACATGCATGCATGCTTACCATGATCTCTGGGCTGCCATGGCTATCTTTCCACACCCATATTGTGTCAGCTGAAGTGGCAATGGCTGTTTGTGTGCAACTGAGGCAAATGCATTGCAAAACTTTTATGTGCATGTCTACCACTTTCATAGCCCAAGCCCAAACCCGCTATTCCTTCCCTGCCTCTCTAAATGCCATCCTGGGTCAGTGGAAGTGTTTATGCATTAGTTATCACAAAGAAACCAAAGCAAAACCACCATCTAATTCAGCTGTCTAATTATTTTCTCTCTTTTTGCAGGTATTTTTGATAGAATATACAGGTCCATTGTTCATCTATTTTCTGTTTTATTTCCGCATGCCTTTTGTCTATGGACTGGATGAGAGGTTTACATCAAGCCCGCATCCAGTAGTTAAGTAAGTTTGTTTGCAGGCTTGAGCAGTATTTATCGTTAGCATTGTAGTCTTATTCCAAATGTCTTGCCACACTTGGTTTTTTAAGTACTCTTAAATGCTTTTGTCTTGCTGTTTCTAGCTTGGCATGTATCTGCCATTCTTTCCACTACATCAAAAGGTTGATTGAAACAGTATTTGTTCATCGGTTCTCCCATGGGACTATGCCACTGAGGAATATTGTGAAGGTAAATTGTGTCAGAATCTATCCATAGCCCCCCTTACAAATCCAGCTAGCCAACCTCTGTCTCTGCAGCACAGATTTTTTGGTGTGGCTTTTGTAGTGATGCACAGCAAATCTCACCCATAAATCTGTAGACTTCTTCAAAAGACTTCTTAATGTCGCTGTTGTATAACCCACTTGTTGCTATACTGTTATTCATGTTATAGTATTCTCATTACTCTTTTAGCATTTGAAACCTTCAGCATACCCTTCCTTTTCACTCAGCTAGCTCCTTGGGTGTGAAGGTTTTAGTAACAAAGTTAATTTTTAAGTTAGCACAGGCAGGCACAATATGAGGGTTGCTTTTTTAAAAGAAAAAAAAATTACTCTTTGTAACAGTCATTTTACATCTTCTTTGCCCCTAACATTGTCTTTGCTGTTAAGCAACTGTAATTTACCTTTGGTCCAGCACAAAGCAGCTTGGTCTGAATTTTCTTCTCCCGCAGGAGCACCCCCTTGTTACTAATGTGGCCGTGGCATAGGGCAGCTGTTGAGATGCAGACCCCATGTTTCCTAGATGTCTGCGAAGTAGTACAGTGAACTGCATGGCTGTGCATGGGCTGTAGTTATCTTACATATGTTCACAACAAAGTACATAGTGGTATTCAAAATTATGCTTTATATTCAGGAAGACAGGAGATTATAATCCACAATGGGAAAAGCATATAATATAGTATCAGCATGTGGGTATTTAACATCTAGTATTTAGACAGCCTCTTGGAATTTGCATTATGGTGGTGATATTCTCAGCAGCTGATGCTCTACCTTGTGGCTGACTCCTTACAGCTGTGCAGCAGCTCTGGTAGTTCTGGCAATAGCTTCATGCTTTCCAAATGGAAGGAGGGTCTGTGGCTGAGCAGTGGCTCTCAGAAATAATCCTCCCTAGCTATTTTACTGTGTATTCTACAGCAGAAGGCGGCGGCTAGCAGATCTGGTAAAGATTTGCTCTTGATACAACAGTAGCTAATGCATGCTAAACAGCTGATATACGAGCAACCTTACCTTGAAAAAGAATCTGTACAGTGTTATAAATCTTCATTTCCTCACTGCCATCTCTGACAACTACTTGTTCCCTTCAGACCATACAAACTGTTGTTGCTAAAATCGACATTTGTACCAGTCATTCTGATCACTTCTACTTTTCCACCTTCTCAGGTTGGTGGTACTTGCTTTCATTTGTAAAGTTGCTCACAGTTCTTCTACTTGCTTATTAGTGCTTGGGTTTGATTTGCTTTTATAATTTCATTGACTTTGGTGGTGTTACTCCAAAATTGTGTCAGTGAGAAAAATACCACATCCTCTTCCTTTTTTTTTTTCTCACATACAGATGGTAGACAAAGCTTCTTTCTTTAAGTGTTTGATCACACACACTAGCAGATATAGATAACATTTCCTAAGCACGATGGAAAGCTACCCTTAACAAGAGGCACTTCAGTCTCAATAAGCAGATATCTGAGACAGGAATTGATGAGATTTGTGATTTTCATCCTTTGTTTACCAAATGGAAATAGGAATAAATGATACTGTAATATGAAGCAGGGGTTCACCAAAAGCAATTCATGCTATATACTAACATAGTATAATTCTAAGATTTTTCTAGGCAATAGAAAGGTAGAACACCTGATTTATCTGGACTTGGTAAACAACTGGCTTAGGGTGAATAAGATAGGAATTTATACAAAAATTGTGTGGTGATAAAGGAACTAACTAAAGGAAAGATGATTGTGGCTGTGCCAGAAAAGAATCTGTCAGACCTTTAGTAATGGTGAGGTATCAGTAGAATTCCTCAAAGATTAGTCTTATGACTGGTCTTACTGAACATTTTGATAGGAAAAAAGGGATATTGTTGCTTTCTATAAAAGCATCTGGAGAAAAGAAAACACTAGACCTAAAGAAAGACCATTTAAACCAGAAGACAATATAATGAGATAAGCAGAAAGGTACATGCTGGTCATGAATAAACACAGTCAGGGCATTAAGAAATAGTTTCGATCATCACAGGGATCATCAGTTGGAGTAGAGAAAATAAAAATCCACACCATAACTTTGTAAATTTAGGAATAATTTATTTATGGGATTCCTGCAATATCTGAACTTGATCCACAAAATCTTTTTATAAGAGAGTGTTGTAGAGCTTTATTCACCTGGAATATGAAAGATTCACAGAAACAATTTATTTCTTTCAAGTGAGTTCACGAAGTCTGCATGTACTCTGCCATTCCTGTCAGAACCTCACTGGAGGCTTTTGTATGAGCAATAAGGCTTCTAGTGGCAGCTGTATGTTTGTAGTGTTACTGCTAAGGACTTTAGCAGTGGCAGACTCCACTCATCTTAAAGCTCCTTTTCTTATAACTGAGGCATACTCTTGCAGTAAATCACGTGAATAGTACTTGTTCAGTTTAATTACAGCATGTATTACTGGGAGCTGAGCCATGATGATTGATTTATTTATTTTTACTTTACTGAAATCCATTGCCATATGATCCATCCTGTGCCAAGCCCCAAAGTTAGGGAAGGGTTTTTCATAAAATGCCATTCCAAGATTACAAGAAACTGTTTCCATGTAAGTTTGTACAGCAGTTAGCAAGTTGTAGGTGATGTTGGAAGAAGCTAGAGTTAGTGAGGAAGCAGTAGTTTATGGATAGAACACTAATTAGATTTTAGACTGACTGGAGTCATTCTTCCGGTTCTGCTGCTTTTCCTGGGGAAAGGGAAGCTGTCACAGGAAAGTCACATAATCTCTCTGCCCTTTTGTCCCACCTGATCTGTAATTATTGGTTAATAATTTGCGCTTTCTCATCAGTTACATACTAATATATAATCTCAGAGCAAGGACATACTATATGTTTGTATTACAGCATACCCAAAAGGTGTCCATTTTGTCTGAGGTTTCTGGGCACTTCAGTGGTTCAATTAACTCTGAAAAGAAAGTGGAAGTTCAATAGAATGTTTGGGGGCCTAGCCCTCACCAGCATTTGCAGAAAAACACATCATCAAACACTGCAGTTAGCTAGTGTGGTTTGCATTGCTGATCATTTTCGGGGGTATTATTGCTAGAAATGTTGTTCTGGTATATATAGAGGAAAAACGCTGCAAAATTCAAAGGAAAAAAAAGAGTAAAACCAGTCAGGACAGGAAAAAATGCAGCCTTGGATAAGGATTTTGGCTGCATGAGTGGAAAAGGAAAGCTGTGAAGGAGAAAGCAGAAAGACCCAGAAATGTCTAAGGTATGTGAAACTATTGGAAAGCCAAGAAAAAAGCATCACAAGAAAGAGTAAGAGGATCAGTGTTTTACTCAAAGAGTGAAAATAGGAAATAAGGAAAAGAACAGAAGTGCGGAAAGGAAGATAAAGAGCTCAGGTTTTGTGTTGCTGAAGTCCAGGGGATAACCAAACATGACCCGAAACATTAAAAACTGAGGCAGTAGGTTTGATAAAGAACTCAACTGATTAGAGGCAAATTTGGGAGTTATCAACAAAGGTTAAAGTCTGCCTGCAAGAGAATAGCACCTAGAGGTGAGAGCATAGAGGAAGACGAATGGGCCAAGAAAAGGCCTCCTTCCTAGCTACAGGTATATGAGGAGGGAGAAGATAACCTGTCACCAAGATGCTGAAGCAACAATGAGTATCAGAAGAAAATCTCTAAGAAGCAGGGCCAGAAAAACCAAACATGAGATAGAGCTTGTCATTGTAAGTATTTTTTTCATGGATGAAGCCTGTGAACAAGCTCTAAGATTGGTCAGGAATGAGTCAGTAGAACTATTAGTGACAGCCATGTTATCTGTGTTTAGAGAATGGAAGCTGGATCACAGAAAGCCAAGAACAGCAGCAGAAGGGACAAACTAAAGATATTGCAGTGAAAGGGCAGAGGAAAGCGTCAAGCATGGTGACTTTGGGTAGGAAAAGTTAAAGCATTTGAAAGAAAGAAAACTGATGGGGTGAAGAAGAGGAGAAAGGGTGAGAGATTTGGCAATACAAAATAATAAGCAGGGAAGAGAATACAGTACCTAAATCTGGTTTTACAAAGTCTCAGGGGTTAGCAATTCAAGTCCCTCTTTAACATAGAGTCTGTATGGCACTTCATCTTTGGCCCAGTGGCTTGCCAGACAAGACAAATTTGTTTCAATAGTATGTTCATGCTTTCTACAGCTGTTTATAAACTTAACAGCTCCAAGACATTTGAAAGGAAATCTTACTCTATGAGCACTACTTCTGTCCTCTTAATTCCTGTTGTCTGCTCCCACCTTACCACACTCAGTACTGTCATTTTTCTGCATTACCAGCATCTTGAAGGATCAGCCCAATTGATTGTTATCAGTGGTCCTTGCAGTGAATATTGGCCTAGAGGATTGTACTAAAACAAAGAAAAATTCCCTGTTTTTCAGAACTGCTTGTATTACTGGGGTTTTGCAGCTTGGCTTGCTTATTACATCAATCATCCTCTTTATACTCCTCCTTGTAAGTAGCATAACAGCCCTCAATATGATTTAAGTACTTATGGGTTTGTATATTAGTACTAATCACATGTAAACTTTTTTTATAGCTTATGGGAAAAAACAGATAAATTTTGCTGTGATCATGTTTCTGGTAGGTCTGTTGTTCTTTTTATAAAATGCTAAAACATGTTGCTTTATTTCCTATGTTGTATAAGTGGAGGAGTGAGTAGGATAAGCAGATACTTAAAACTTGAACACTTGGGACATACTACTAAAGCTGACCACTTGCACATAGAACAGATAAATCTGTTAATGTGATCTTGTACACAAGGGAAGACTTTGATCCAGTATCCATTCAAAGACCGGGATTTTTATCTGCTGGGATGATCTCTTATAATCTCTGAAAGAATCCTGAAACTACCAGTTTATGCCACTGTGTTTAAAAGTCAGTGAGTTTGTTTTGTGAACTGTTTGTTGAGTGTTAAGAATCACAACAGGCCATAAAACTTGGAGAACTGGCCAACTAAGAAAGCATGTTGCTGATAATTTCCAGGGATAGAGGTTAATTTTCCTGGGCTTCATAAATTTTTTACAGCTTTCCTTATGAAGCAAAATTCTTAAGTCACTGTCTATTCATTCTCACAGTTCCTAGGAACGTTTAATTCATGCAGAAGCAATGTTAGTGTAGCCAACAAAGATGTACCTGTTTTTCCTATGTATGCGTAACTTGTTCAGAACATCAACTGTTCACTTGCTTTGAGAAACTAATTGTCAGTGACTCCAGGATCTCAAAGCAGTTTCCCAGTGCAAATATTCTGTGAGTTAATAATCTATTCTCATTTTATAGAGGGACTACATAACTGAAAGCACAGAGCTGGGAATAAAACTCAGGAGCTCTGACCACCAGTCATTTGCTTTAATAGTTATGATTGCAGACACTGGAGACTGTCCATAATCATATAAATGGGTTATTTCAATATGCTTTCTACTTAATTGATTGCAGAAGCATTATTTAAAACCAGTGGAGGAAGCTGGGTCAATTATATTTCATGACTCACATAAATTATACTCTAGAAAAGAAAACTTACTTAGAGCCCAACCCATATCTTCCTTGGGATTTTAGTAACTTTTGAGAAACCAAAACTACCCAAATCATTTTTTTGGGGTGTTTTTAAAACGAGAAGAATAACTAAATTTATAGCAAGTATCTCCTGGGTTTACTTCTATGCCCTTTGGTTTATTGCCTTTGGATTTCATGGGGATTGTATAAGTAGTAAATTTGATCCTTCGGACACTGAGTCCATATTTGCTGGCAAATATCATAAATATATAACAGTATAATATGGACTCATGTTTGAACAAAGACATCCTCCTCCTGTTAGAGAGAATATTTATTATGGTGCATTAACTCCCATTTAAAAATCCTGTTTATAATAGATTATTTTCCTCCTTTTTTTTTTTTTTTTTTTAAAGGACCCCAGGGAATAACAAAAGGAAGAAGAGTAAATAGAAGGGAAGCACATTTTTAATCTGTCATGTTTTTTCTTGTAGCTGTGTGAAGCTGGAAATTTTTCCATCCATGTTGCGCTCAGTGACCTCCGGAGAAATGGTAAAAATCGCATTATCGTTTTTCACTTTTACGCAGCTATTCAGTACTTCTACAGTTACTCTACCTCATGAAAGATCTGATCCTGGAGGGCACTGATACCCTCCCAGGTGACTGCTGTGAGTGCACAGGTTGCTCAGCACTGTAAAGATTGAATTCTAGGGGAGATCAGACAAGAATCCAGCACCAGACTGTTAAACAGCACTTACCTTACTGTAATTGTTATTGGTTAGGGCCAGATTGTGTTGGGGAGAGCAGTTAAATTAGTTACACTGGTAGTACTAAAGGGAACAGTGCTAGTATAAGCCCTGTGGTGAGCAATGGAAAGTAATTTCACTGGCTTCTACAGGGAGCACAAAATCTCTGTACAGGCCAGGGTTCCTTGGCATGAGCCAAATGTCTTACAGCTGTCAACTATGACTGCCAAAATCCCATTCTGTGACAATCTGAGAAAACCTTTAACTTCTAAATCTAAAACTTGAGGTACCTCTTACAGGAGTGACCATGATCAAAGGCATATGTAGATGACTTCCTAATGCCCAGAACATTTTCTCACAGTTATCCCAGTCCTTCTTGTGGGTCCAGAGGACATCCTGTCTTCCCACATCCTGCTTGTCCCTCTGACAGTGATGAGACATGGGAGTAGGCAGATTTGGGTTGTCTTAATAGGAAAGAGTGTATTTAGGAGTGTGAATATTTTGTGATTTGTTTTCTAATCTATAGGATCCAAAACCCGTAAGATCCCATATCCAACAAAGAATCCTTTCACATGGCTGTTTTTCTTTGTATCTTGCCCTAACTATACATACGAGGTATGTATTTTCAAATAAGATGTTAAGATTTTAGTTTTGCTGAATGTATTTTCATTTCTTTTGGAATATTAAACATGAAAGAAACTCTGAAACAGTTCAGCTCAATACATTTCCCCTTCTTCCCTAAACCCCACAAAATCAGATTACAGAGAGGGACTTGCCTGTTCTTCTTCTCCTCCCTTGAGGCAGTACCTGCAGGGCTAGCCTTAAACAGACAACTCAGACCCATGGCCTATGTTTCAATGTGGCTGCTAAACAAAACAGATGGACTTTAAAGCAGTGCAAATTTTGCAGACAGGAACAGGGAGACTGCCACTGAATGTGTATTGCAATGAGGGGATGGGGGCGTCTGGTGGATTTATGACAGCCCAGGAATATCACAGTACACATGAAGATAGTGGGCAGACCTATAGAAGGTATTGTGGTAGACAAAATAGGCTCAGGTCTTCTTCCCCATTTTCTTAAGTTACACTTTTGCTTGTGTTGGTGGTGACTGCTTTATAACTTTGAATAATTTCATATTCCTTAACCAGGAGCCTAACTCCTGACTCAGTTCAGAAGTGGTTAAAAACAGTCCAACTCAGTGTTAAATTCACTCTTGCTCAGAAGGACAGCACCAGGTTTTAACTTCAGTGGAGATTAACAGATGTTAATGAGACCAGCATTTGGCCTCAGACTTTACAAAGTTATCATTCCTAGCATTGATAGAGGTGTGACAAATACAAATTAGGCAGAGAAACAGAAAGGACACTATGTTGTAATGCTTAAAATTTTGTTGTAATAATGACTATGGAAGCGAACACAAAGATTTTGTTTGTAATAATAAGCCACTGTTCACCTTTTTGGCTAAAGGTTATTAACATTAGAAATTGATCTGGCTGACCTTGGCTTTTTTATTTGCCTATACTAGGACAAAGTTGGTTTTGATCAATAGAGACATAAATGCAAATGCTGTCACCAGAAATATTTTAAATTTCCTTGGCCAAAACAGGTGGGGACCTGGATCAGTTTCACTATCATGACTCAGTGTGTTCCAGGTGAGTAATGTTTTGGTACTTCACCCTGAAGTGATGTAAGCAACAAGAGTGTGTTTTTAATCTAATAATGAAACGTATCTTTTTCTCCCTTCCTTCCAGTGGGGCTGTTCACCTTGCTTTGCTTCATTCAGATGACAATCTGGGCAAAGGATAAACACTGCACCTACCTACGAGAATTCAAGGATTATCCAAGTCTTCGAATGCCAATTATTCCCTTTTTGTTGTAAGAAAAAAAGGTTTAATTTGGCTATTGCATGGAACTTCAAGAAGAAAAAGCTCATAAACCTCCTGCCAAATAAGTGAATTAATTTAAAGGATTTTGGTGCATGTTGAATCTCCACTGCTGAGGGAAACTCTATGCACCTGAAAGCTACACTTCCTTATATTCAAGAATTCTCAGCACAGAAGCACCTTCAAAAAATAAAGCTTCATTGCACAGCTGGTAGTCAAAAGCCCCTACAGTTCACTGTAACCTGATTGACTTAAATTTTCCTGTACTAGTCTATTTAGATTGATGGATCAGAGATACTGAGAAGTCTGTGCTGAAAAGCAGCTCCAAATTTAGCAGTGGCATTCTGCAAGTACCTTGGAATGAGGACATACCAGCTAACTACTAGAGCGCTCAGCTCAGCCAGCACGGCCAGCTGGCCTGAAGACAGTTGCATGATCTGCCTTCTTTGACTTGAAGAAGAGAGTGTGCTGCCTGGAGGCAGGTGCTTTGTAACAAATAACATTACCAAAGAATATGAATGGTTCCTGGAATAAAGAAATAGGCAATATCTCAAATACTTGACTTGGGTCTAACCCCTAATTTACCAAAAGAATCTGAAGTAAGAAGTATTTGTAGTATTTGTGGATGTAACATCCTGCATTGTTGAGATTTTTTTGTTTGGGTTTTTTTTAGTCTTCTTCATTAGTAAATTGCATTTTAGTATTAAAGGTTCAGAAGATCTGATCTATGTTATATCTGTGATATTTGGCCTGTTTTCATATAACAAGTCCTTATGATTCTAAAGGACCTTTTACCTAGCATTTTATGTCAGCATTCTCTGAATAATTTTTAATATACTTTGTAAACACATAAAGTGACTGCTAGTCCTCAGAATGCTAGCTCCCTTCCTATTTTCAGAGCCAGGGAAAAAAAATCAGCTACATTTTGGACTTCCTGTGTTTTCTTTTTCACAAGATGTTCAGTGGGACTTAGTTGGGTTTTGTGCAAATCTAGTAAAATAAGACTATTACAATCTATCTGAATGACATTTTAAATAAGCAATTTTAGAATATGAAGAGAATGCATCAATACTGTTTTGTTTCATAACTAATTTATTTATCTATAATGGATGTATAGAAAGATTTTTTGCATCTATTTGTAAGGGTGAAATATGCAATAAATTCTAGACTATATTTGAAATCAGTTGAAATAATTATGTCAAGAGAAGATTAAAGCTGGTTGCTGAAGTTTCATATTTTGTACAATAAAAAGCAAGAATGTCCTTATATATATAAAAAAATCTACATCAATTGAAGAAACCAACCTAACAAAGCAAAAATACATGACCCAGATTTTATTTCTGTATAACATATCTTAGAGAAGATTTCTTAGAAATGGTTAGATCTGGTAGATAACTGAGGCAATACATCATTATGAATTTGTTTTCAGTACTGTTATTTTCCACTAGTTTAACTGTGAACCAGAGAAAAGAGTGAAATGTCAAATGAGTTCCCACTGAATACAGTGTGGAATACAAGCAGGTTGAAATTTTCCTCCTGAGCAAAGAGAAAGCACACACTCTAGTCACACTTCACACCCACTTAAGGTCCAGTCACAGGAAAAAAGAAAAATTTGACCTTGTTTAGTAACAAAGATATCTTTCCAGGCCTTCATGAGAAAACTAAGCTTTTGGCAGATTTGGACACACTCTCTTTCCTTTTAATCTCCATTTTGACATTCTGCTTCTATTAGCGAAACTTGAAGATGAGTATGAGATAATTCAAATTTCTTGCCTGGGTCTGAGATCTGAATTAATTCTTCCCATTCTTGCTCAGACAACCGTCTGTTTTCACTGGCAGCCTGAAGGAGTCTCCAAGCACTTGTCTCATCAGCCAGCACTGATGTTCTGACCTTGGTAGTCCTGTGCAAGCAGGATGGTAGGAATACACTTCTAAAATGGGCAATGCTCTCTGCCTTGGGATGTCTGCTGACTGGTAGCAGCTGACTTAAGAGTTAAACATGAAAAACCTATCAGCCTGAAAGGACCAGATAGAGAAACTGTTGACCTGTAAAAAGCATTAAAGACAAGGAGGAATGTGACTTCTCTTCTTGTATCTTATAATGAACTTTATGTTACAGGAAGGTTTTGTCAAAGGCAAGGACCTGCCTTTCCTTTGACACTTTCAGCATGTAGTGTTCCTGGTAGAGCAGTAGAAGTTAGGGTATTGCTAAGGGCTGTTGCTGTTGTGAGCACAGTGCTCAGAAAGGTGCAAAAAAGTCAGTATAATACTGAGTGTGGGAACCTTTGTTTTACCCTTATACTGCTCTGGTATGGCACATCTTTGCACTGTGCACACTCTAAGAACTAGTGACTGTAGGCATAGTCTATGCAACTGCCTGCTGATGCAAAGCAGGGAACACCTTTGCTTCTCGTCTGGCTCCAGCTGCACGGGGATGCAAAGGAATTTCCTCATCCTCCATCTGCTGTTTAGCAAAGTTCACAAAAACCTGTGTGAGGAAAGGAGAAAATGTCACCATCTCATCAACTGAGATGAGTTAGTGGAATGTCTCCATACATTTGCATCCTCTTGGTCTCTCTGCAGGGAAGAGATGGAAAGGGGAATCAATAGGCATAAAATGAACTGAGACACTTGTGTATCAGCAGGGATCATTAATTCCTTCTTTGTTTTGATAAACTTCCTTGCAACTTCCTTCATTTGGATGCAGTTACTTGCAACTCAAATACTATTTTTTTCTTAAGCAGAAGATGGGCTCAGCAAGGTTTGCGTGGCTTGCACAATGTGAGTTTGAGTTTGGTTGTGATGGGAAAAAGAAGACAGAATATTTTAGTAGGAAGCTGTAAGACAGCCACGAACAACTCTAGCATTCCCATGAAAGATAGGTTTGCCCATATGGACCCTCAGCTACTTAGAAAAGCAGGCAGATGGGGCTAATGCCCTCTAGCAAGTGGATATTGCCAACAGTCCCAGTGGACTTTCCAAATTTAGTGTCTAATTTCTCCTGTATAAAAGTGCATAACAAACATATAAACGTTTAACTAGATATCACAGTATCTCTGACACAACACAGTCTGAATCACTTAAAGCAAAATGTTATTCCCAGCTCAGCAAGCCTTATTCTGAATAGCTGACCTTGCACAGACTGCTGCTCCTGAAGGAATGCGTTGTGTTAATTCTGTCAGCTGGGAAATGCTGTCTTACTAGCTTTCAAATGGCACCTATTTACACAGGGAATTAGTTACAGATTTCATATCTGATCCACCCTCATTGATGAGGGGTCTGGGAATTCGCCCTAGAAAGAAGTGTGAGATAAAGAGAATTATATCTCACACCTTTAGGTTGGTCCTTCAGTTGTTTAGATACATCCCTATTGCATTGTTTAATTTTCACTAGACAGGCTCTCTCATGGACGCTTTATGTTTTTACTCACCTGATCTAAAGTTGTCTGAGACACAGAATACTCTTCAATATGCAGATTTTCCTTATTGGAGATTATTAACTGAAAAATCTTAGCCAGAGAGGAAGAGCAAATCTGATACTGCAGCATGTTGTAGTGTTTTTCTCTCTGTAAACTTCCTGGGAAGTTCATGTGTATGAATTGCTCAGCAGGAGTAGGATCTGGAGGCAGCCCAGACTTCGGAGATTTGATTTTCAGTGTGACAATGTAGCCATCTCCAAACCTGGGAAGCACATGTGGATTTGGGAATTGGATAAAGAGATCATTTCATTATTCAGGAAGAAAATTAATTTTATGCAGCTATGAAAACATTAACAGTATCTGAAAGATAATGCATTAGATCTAGCTTTGTAGGAAGCCCTGTATTTGCCCTGCAGAAGTGGTGTGTAGCATGAATGGAAATGAAATCTGCTCGTACTGTCTAGGATATGACAGAGTTGCACCCAGAAATGGGTCTGTTTAAAAAACAGATCTTCAGTTTGGATTGCTGGATTAAGAATGGTACATGTAACATACGCTAAGTTTCCTCACTAAAACACACCATAAAAATATTCTACTTACTTGTCTTTTAGCTGCTGAATTGTGCCCAGGCATTTAAAGGTACCTTTTACCATGATGGCTAAACGAGTACAGAGGGCTTCACATTCTTCCATACTTTCAAAACAGAGAACAGATTTTAGTGATAGAAGACAGCAGATGCAACATCAGCTACTCTGGGATTCTGAATTCTAACTCTTTTTACCTGTGTGAGGTTAGAACCACAGCTCGCCTGTCTCTGAGCACACCGACAATAGAGTCCCACAGGAGGCGCCGGGACTGAGGGTCCATTCCTGTAGTTGGTTCATCCTGTAAGGGAAATGTTAAGACAATCACAGTCAGAGGAGGAGATAAGAAAATCTATTCAGAATAAAGTAATTTTTTGTTTGGGCCTTAGCATATAGCTGCTTCCGTACTGAAATCTGTATGTTGAGAAACTGTATGCACCTTGAGAAGCATAGGAGTGAATGGGTACTTATGTACTTCCTGGCATAAAGCAGTAAGGAAACAAGTACAAGAAACTGCAGGTAAGACTATAATGCTGCTTGTGTAGGGCACAGCTACAGGGAAGGGAATGCAGTGACCATTACAACAAAGGCAGTCCCCAGTTTAGGGCCTTTAATATAAAAAATGTAAGCATTTGTGATATCCCATTATAAAAATCTTTAGGACCCAAAATAGAAATAAATGGGAAGAGGCTCATGCAGTAACAGTTACATCAAATTGCATCAAGTATGGCTTCCAGGCTAGAGATGTAGGTCAAGATGTCCAGATGTACTGGAGAAATAAATAAAAGAATTTTACATCTATAATACTAGTTTTAAGAAAGAGATGGACACTTTGAATAAAATCTTCCTTTTCTGGGGTGATAACTTGTAAGAGGAGAGTGAGGTCTCCCCAAGTAACCTTATTTACATAAACAGATAGGACACATTTCTCAAGCCAAGAAGTAAGTGAAGTGACCTTGATTTACACCAGCTAAGGATCTGGTCCTGCATAGATTAGTTAACCCAGTTACTAACAAAAAAAATTTAAAAATCTTGAAAGAAAAAAAAATTTTGTTCAACATTTTGTCTTGAGAAATGATAAAACATTTTATCTGGCTGTTTACTACATACAGGCAGAATACATGCAAAGGTGTATTAAACGGTACAAGGAACCATGCTATTAAAATGTCATTAAAATGTTACTTTTTAGCCTACAAATTAAGGTGGTACAGTATAATCTAAATACAGAATTTCTGTAGTAATTTAATTTAGAATTTCCCTTGAAATACATAATTATCTGATAATTTATGTTATTTGATAAGAACGACATTTCAGCATTTGTGTAGTTTAGTCTAGATTTGTACATTTTATTCCAAAGATATTAAAAGCTGTGAAATAGTAGCTATCTTCCTCTGTTCTGCTGGATAAAGCAGCAAGGTATATGTTGTAAGATCATCTTTTACATGAGTGGACAAGAAAAGGCAGACTGAAACCAAACATGGATTTAAATTCAGATTTGTCTGCATTATAGATTTTTATCTCAAACCATTCCTTCTTTCATAATCACTTGGGGACCACTGGAAACATAGGTATGCATGCCAGTCTATCCCTAAAAGCAAAGCAATCAAAATTACACTGAAGTAGATATAACTTGAGGGCAGAAAGGAGCTTGCAAGGACTGTCTGAAACGTCCTTGTATCTCTTCAGCATGTAGTTTTAGGAGATGTTCTACTGAACTATCACAGCTATGTTACCATGACACTTACTAGCAAGACGAGTTGTGGGCAGCCTATCAGTGCAATGGCAGTGGAGAGCTTGCGCTTGTTGCCACCGCTGTAGGTACCGGCCAGGTGGTCTGCATACATAGGAAGTCCCAGCTTCTGGATGCCCCATTCAGCAACCTATGAGAAAGACCATCCTTTTCATGTAGCAGACAGGATTTCTGATACACCCCTCTTCTGGCAGAGGCATAGCAATCCCCTGGGTTTTAGCACATTCATTTTAGAACTGGAGCAGGAGAGTCCAAAAAAAAGTATGATGATGAGGGGAATTCCAACTACTTGAGGGAAAGCCATAAACTACCTGCGCAAGAATTTAAATTCTTTTACTGTGGAATCTTCTTCATGTGTTCATTCTTATAAACAACTTCAAAGACAAGAACAAAACAGCAACCAGTGCAGTTCTGAGTCACAGCAATTGCATCTTTAGCCTTTCACAGTTGGTGGCACAGTTTTGCAAGTACCGTTAATGCCTAAGAGTCTGCATTCGATAGTACAGTCTTGTAATTAAC